TGGACGTGATCAACGAGGATGAAGTAACTGCAGTGGACTGAATAAAGCAAACTGAAGGGGAATTGAGAGATACTTGAGTTCTGGTCTCCCAGCAGTCTCTATCTCCTCAATCCCCTCACCCTTTCATAGCCTTACAGACCATCACAGCCTAAGTATAGAGAGATGCTAACTTCCACATGAACTCAATTACCCACTTCTTCACCCATTTCCAATGGCAATCCCTGAAGTGTCTGTGAGTGAAAACCAGGTTTAAAGCTGAAACCTCGCCCAGCTTCCACCCCAGGGAAGGCTGCCTGAAGGCATTTTGTATTTTCATTCTGTTTGAGGAGTGTTGCAACTTCAATTTAGCCTGTAAACAGTATCTCCCATCATCCTTACTCCTCAGTAATTCTTATATGTGCACAAGGTCAAAGATAGATTCCTGAGACTTAAGTGTAGAAAATAGGAAAGAAATTATTCTTCCCCAGCTATTTGTTTGTAGGAGAGTGTAACCATTTGTGTCAATCCTGTTGCTGTCAATTCTGAATCAACAATGACTGTGAGGCAAAGATTTAGTGCACTGAAAAAAAAATTTAAAAACCCCAAACAATAAAACCCCAGCAAAAGTTCCCAATACTGGTCAAAGTTTTTAAATGGTGAAATCTGAGAGGAATGAGTAAAGAATAAACACTGAAGTTAACAGACACAGCAAATCTATATAAATGATTTTTGTGATTTATCACATGCAATGAAACAGGAAATGAAATTTTCTTCTGACTTGTTCCATTGTAACTTTACAGTATTTTAATCAGTTCATTGGATCTAACTTTGATTCCAGCAATCAAAACACCTTTTATAATCTTGTAATGATTTGAATGAGATGGATTAAGATCAAGGTGAACATTTCTGAGGTTTTCAAGAAATTATGAAAACACTGCCTGCAAGTTCTTCTGAAAAAAATGCAAATTAATCAGCATCTACTGTTTTCTTCCCCGGTAAAGAGTGATGTATCATCATTTAATGAAACGGGTCAGGCTGCAACTTCTAAGCTGAAAAATGTCACCATTAATCATATAACAGTACTAGACCTCCTTTCCTATTTCGCTATTGTAAGCGGTTTGTAAAAGCATTTTACTTTTTAATTTTAAAAGTACAGCTGTCAGTTTTCCGAGCTTTAGTGGTGACCCGAAAATAAATTTCAGCACAGCTCCTGAGGGCCTGTTTACTCTCAGGCTGCAACGCAGTGACATTTCCAGCTGCACTAGGGTTGAAGTCTGACTGGGTGGAACCCCACCATGACAAAGTCCAAGTTTTTATCACACAACTAAGTCATACAGGCGCTACACAACAATCCAGGCTGTAAAAGCATCATAATTACCAGTGAACTGAGTATCCAGCTACTTCACATTATTTTTTCACCACTGCCTCATTGCTTAGTCTTGATAAGCTTTCTCAGACTATGCAACCCTTTAAAGCTTTTGCAAACATAAGCTTTTTCAGGCATCTTCTACAGTCTAAATTATCCATCTCCACATCTGAAATAATCCTGAAGTAGAAGAGGACCTCAGAAGTCCTCATGTGGAAAAAGTTTTCACAGGAAAAGTACATTGATACTTTCTTAATAGGACAGAAGAAAATGTGACAGACGCTTTCCAGGTACCTTAACTATGTGAGATGATGGTACAGCACAGATTATGAAGGTCTTTAGCTCTTAATCTAGATCAAGAGTTAAGTGGGAACCTAGCAGACACTGACAAACTACTGATCTGGCAAAATTGCCTTAATTTCATCTATAGTCATCACAACAGAGCCTTACTTCTTTTCCCAGTTCTGTCCAAAATGGCCTTATGTAACTGCTTGTTACATCCTCAACATCTGCTGAGTCAAGGCTATGCTCAAGTCCAGCTTTGCACATCATGACCTATGTCATGATCACACAACTGTAAACCCAAACATCAGTTCTGATTAAGTTCTGGAATACTGCCTGGGAGGAAAGGTCAGGCTTTACCGTGCACTGCATAGCTTCATGTAATGTACTATCAACAAGATATAAGAATATGCAACACATCACCGGGTCGATCCATTTCTGCAGTACTGATTTGAAGTCCCAAACCCCACAGCAAACAAAACTCAAAGTGTAGAAAGAATCATAGAATGGTTTTGGTGGGAAGGGACCTTTAAAGCTCATCTAGTCCAACCCCCCTGCAGTGAGCAGGGACATCTTCAACAGGTCAGGTTGCTCAGAGCCCCGTCCAACCTGGCCTTGAATGTTTCCAGGGATGGGGCATCTGCCACCTCTCTGAGCACACCTGCTCCAGTGCTTCACCACCCTCATCGTAAAACATTTCTTCCTTACTCGAGTCAGAATCTACCTTCTTTTAGTTTAAAACCATTACCCCTTGTCCTATTGCTACAGGCTCTAAAATGTCTGTCCCCACCTTTCCTGTAGCCCCTTTCAGCCCTGGGAGGCTGCTCTAAGGTCTCCCTGGATCCTTCTCTTCTCCAGCTGAACCCCAACTCTCTCAGCCTGTCCTCACAGGGGAGGGACTCTAGCCCCAGGATCATCTTTGTGCCCTCCTCTGGCCCCGCTCTAACAGGTCCATGTCTCTTGTACTTCGGCTGGAGGCTAGGGTACTACTGCTGTTAAAAACTTGCAGTTGGGGGACACAAAGGCTAAATGATGAGTAGCAGCTTGTATAACAGGTAGGTACTTCAAAGTTTATCTCCAGCGTACATTTACCACACCGTGTGCAGTGCTGATCAATACAGTTACTTTCTCAGCATCATGAACTTGTGCCTGTAACTAACTCAGAAAGCAGACATCCCTTCACATTCCTTCTCACCCTATCAACATTCAACTTGCAGATAAAAATGAAACAGTTTAAAAAGAAAGATTAATGGAGTCCCAACTAAAAATATACTCAGGCCCTCACACATGAAAGGTGGGTTTTTAGGCTTAAGACAGGCTTGAACCTTCATAGACCACAACCAACCTCCTCCTATGGTATTAGGAAAGACTCTTGCTTTGATATAATTTTGTGAGAAAACGGTGACTCACATGCCTGGCTGAGAGTTCATGTATCAGATATCCAAATGAAGAACAAACAGCCTTTTCCTCCAAGATGAATAACAGGTCTATAACATTATTTGACAAATCAACATGATTTATTTAATGGACACTACAGCCACAGACACCTACACCCTGCTTAGTAAACATGTTTCCCTCAAGGGTTTCACCAGGCAATGAGCTAGCCGGGTTCAAGAAAAGGATTCAGGGCTTACTTTTCCAACATACATGAAGTGGTAACTATCTGATCCAAACCTACCTCACCTTTTTTTCCCCTGGAGAAGATCTAGCAACTCCATAAACTCACTCATCTCCTAGCACAGCCCACTTCACCAAATGTCCACTGAGATTCTGGAATCTGCTGCTGCTTTTGGCTACTCAAATCCAAGCATTTTGGAAAAGGGAAAACAAACTGGGAACAAAGGCGAAGGGCCCACGAGGAGAGGCACTCTGGGAGAAGCTGTAATTTCCAAAACATAACTTTCTAGTTCAATCCAAATTCCACTGTTAGAGATGTGCATCTAAAATAAAATAGTAATAGGAAAATGTTGAGCAATTTTCCTTTACACCTAACTGAAAATTGTACTGCAAGAACCTGTCAAAGGAATATTTGAATTTACTTAAGCAGAACACAAAGTCAAAAGACAAACTTGAGATTGTTTACCTGACATGTAAATAGTCTTTTTATTCTCACCATAAGTAGCCGTCAATGGATTTATCTTGTTTATTTGAAAAAATAGCATTATTGTTCTTCCAGTGTTGCCCAACCCTCTCAGTGCCTTTTAAAAAAGCCTAGTTTTACTGCATTATATTTGTCATGGTCAGTTTAGCAGCACAGAACATGGGTTAGTCTTTAAGCACAACTACACTGAAACTGAGTTCTCGGAACAAAGGCAGCTGCAGAAGGTACACAGTACCTACCTAGTCCATTCTAGGTCTCCTCAGCATTTCTGCACATGTTTTCTCCCTCTTTCTCATTCCTTAGTGCTTGGATTTTCTTTCCTGACTTGATATCATTCACATTTTAGCCTACCTCTAATCTAAACTAGTATAAAATACAGAATTTATTAGTGATAATCACTTATGGGCACAGTCAGATAAAGGCCACCTGGACAAAGTTAAAAAAATAGCTGTCTGTGTTAAACACTCTGCTAAAACCTCCACAAGTTCATGTCACAGTGCCCTTCCCACCACACAGTCAGTAGGTATACTTCTCAGCTGTTTTGTAAAGGTTACCTTACAACGAGGCATAACGCACACCCTTCCTTACCTGTGAAAGAAGAAGTAGGGATTTAGGAACAGAATGACTGCAATAAAACCAGAACCAAACATTTGGTTAATACAGACAGTAGAATAAACCTCTGTACTGACAGCTTATTGAAAGGCTGTATGGTAGCTATGAGGTACTTCAAGTGCTGTATTTCAACCCTACATACTCAAACTGTTAAGAACTGTACTTCCCTAAAATGAAAAACTAAATAACCTTGTGATGATTCTGTAATTTGACAAAGTTTAGATCAAAAATAACAAAAGGTTTTTCAGCAAATAGGGGCTTAAGTAAGGCATCATCAACAAAACCCACAGTAAAGCAGGACAGCAACTTTTTCCTGTTCATAAAATACACACAATCGTAGACACTGCTGTACCACAGACGTACCTCTTCTGAAGGCTTAGGAAATTAAAGACAAGGTGCCTAACAAGCAATTTCACATATCAGAGCTGAGCAGAATTTAACGTTGGGGCCTACATGTGAATTCTAAGCATTAGCCTTGCATCCAAGGCCTCTGTTGGCAGTCAGCCTGTGCAGGACAAATAACTAAGTTCTGAAATAGAAACAAATTACCTAGAACTTCAACAGCTTTTACACAACCTTCAAAACACAGATGAACTTCTAGATTAACATAAACCATGCGAAAACATTCATGCAGGAAACAGACAACATGTTGCCAAGAGATTTTAAAATTTGGTTTTATTTCAGAAAAAAAAGAGGAAGACAACATAATTCATTTAGCAGACACAATCAAAATTAAAGATTAAGCCTTGCTTATTCTTTTCCAAAGCTCATTAGGATTCTGTGTTCCAGCAAGAAATATTCCCACTCATTTATGTAGCTCTTTCAGCTCCCACCTGCTGATCAGTTAAAAAACCAGTTGAATCCCAGAATAGAGTAGGCCATCAGTTCATATTATTTTACTGCATCTATACCACAGCTAATTTTTCACAGTAAGTTACAGATAAACAAGTTAAAGAAGTAGCTTTCTACAATTTAATGAAACAGCACTTAATATCTACTCTTCTTTATCTGCCATCACTTCTTAGAACGCCAATTCACCCTTAAATGTCAAATCAGGAAGTACTCCTACTCAAAAAACACAACTCGAGACACACCCAGAAATGCACTGAATACAGAAAAAACCTGCTATGATTTGAAATCTGTATAACATTTGCTTGAGTTAAGAGCTAGTAGCTGGGCTCTGAAATCCTTTGTATCAGCATTCATGCTTTTTCCAACGCAAATGGCTAATGAGGCAGCATCAGCAGGCAAACAAGGAAAGCAAATATTTCAAAATTAGGAGTAATGCTAATCACACATATACGTTAATCTTTGGCAAGGGAAGAGGAAGAAGTAACAGAGGAGTTATTAAAACTTGCCAGACTTTAGATCCACAGCGAATTGCCCGATCCTGCTGAGCACACTTCTGAAACTCTTTTGGTCTGTTAGGACTAACTTCAGTGTGCAACATGTATGACAGATTATATATATTTTTTTAATTCAAAAGTTCAGTAGTCAGCTTGGACGCTAATTACCCCATAATTGGGTAACACTTTCCAAATAATTATCTAAAGAAAAAATACTAGGTGGGATTTTTGCCCTTATAACACAGTAGTTTAAGCCTTGGCTTTGTTGTATGCTTGTACAGTAAAACACTCAGATGCTGACAACATGCTTTCTTAGGTAACCACTACTCAGATTCAGCCAAGGTAGTGTCCAGAAATTCCATAGTTATCATTTAAACATTGCTCTCATTTCTCAAATATAAAAACGCTTCCATTTTGTGCCAATTAGTAAAGCCTGATTAAAGATTACACTACAAGATAGAAGACAAAAACCAATATTACTAAGCTAAAGGAACTCCTTTCAATCTAAGGAATAATAGGGAAGACCTTTCAATCCAAAGGGTTCCAAAATCATTTGCACTGATTAACTAAATCGCAAATACTAGGCAACATTATAATATGCCTGAAATGAGGCTTTATACATATATCTAGCTATAAATACCCATATTCATACAAACATGCCACTTCAATTAAAGTCTAGCCCTGGCTTGATCATTAGACAGCAATATCAGGTTATAGCAGTAAAATAACAGAAAGTCAAGAACCATTAGGAATAGTTCTGAAACTGCTTGAGCTTGATTTGGGCCAAGATAAAAATATTCGTGCATTTGGAAGTTAATTTCAAGACACTTGAAAAATTATTATTTTTCTGGTTTTTTTCTATTTCAATTCTTAGATGTTAGAAAGAACAATTTCCTCCCCTCTCCAAAATGTAGATGTAATCAATTTAACTGGGAAGTATATGTAATAAGAAAACATCTTTAGGTTAGTTATATCCCAACCTAACATTAGTAAGCAAAGATTATCTCAAAATATATATTGAGAATAAAATTTACATATTACAGATTAAACTTTCTACTTGTCTTCATTCCGATCATAAGGAACGAGACATAACCAACATCTTACTGGAAGGCCAAAAATTAAATTCAAAGGAAATGTCTACAAATACATAGAGATAAGTATTTTATTAGAAATATTGAACAACATCAGCTTTTTAACATGAACAAGTTTATCCATAAGGATAATCACAGTATCATTACAGAAGTTCTATTGTGTGATTTAGCCTGGGAAGTTTTACAATTAAAAAAAAAAAAGAAGCAGTATTTTGATTAAACTTATGTTTGCTTCTAGAAACAATTTTTAGTCATGAATTTCCTTAAAACACGTGTTGTTAACAAGCAGTAAAGCACTAGTGTTGAAAGGCACTAGGATTGTTAGCTTGGGTTACTTAGTTTCCAGTACAGATACAGGCACTTGAAAGCTTAATAAATCAAGCCTGTAAAACACTTCTGTGTTTGTGCGGAAGTCTGCTACATTCATTAACATGTTCAGCAGGTTGTCCTGCAGTTGTAAGGACGCAAAATTCGCAAGAGTAAGTCTCTGCAGCACGCTTTACAGGTTGGATCTTTCTTTGGCAGACACACGAGACGTGGACTGTGTATATGTCCTAATTACATCCTAAAAATAATACAAAGAAATATTTAGAGAAATTTCCATTACAAATAGGAGAATTTCAGAAAAAAATAAAAAAGGGTACTTGGAGCAACCATGTTGTTATAGTACGTAGCAAGCCCTGAGCCCAGGAGAGGCTTGTGGAAATGTTTCATTGCCATTACAAAGAGTGGGTAATCACTTGGTCTGAAGAATCAACCTGAACACATTGCATATCACAGAGTTATCTTCCAGAAGCCTTACAGAAACCCAACTGAAACACAGTAATTGTACATCATTGGTTAATCAACATGTCATTAAATGTAATTAGAGTGATGTTTCCTCATTCTGTAATTCTGCATGCACTGACTTCTCCCATTTAAACCAATGGGAAACCAGATCAATAGCTCACTTTGTTTGATTTACAAAAGAAGCTAAGATAATTCACAGTCAGTCAAAATTCAACTATAGAAATCATTAACATACCTTTTTCCCACCTTCAGCATTGTATTTGTCCAGCAAAGCCTGAATACGGGCACCATAGTCAGGATGAACATCAGTGAAGTTTTTCACCTAAACAGGAAGACAGAACAAGAAAAGGCAAAAAGAATTTTTTCCTCCATTTCAAATGTGTTCTTTAACACATTTTCTGCCCTGTGGCCTACAAGCAGCACATATCTTAAGGAAGAAGGATGAAAAACTTTCTCCCAGAAGTCTAACTGTGAATGGCCAGAAACAAGCTATGAACATCTTCAAGCACTATTTCTGTTCGCTCATATAGGGCTCTTTCCTGACTCAAACAAAGCTCCATTGGGAAGGATAAAGATTGAATCCCTCCCTGGCACTCACTGCCTTCTTGTTAAGAGTAGAACATTACACTGGCAGTCACCTGATTTTTGAAACACCAAGCTAAACACATAATGACATCCTTGACGTTCAACATCAAGCCCATTCTTCCCATCAGGAAAAAGTTACTTGAACATGTTATATGTTATTTATATTATCTAAACAGGCAGACACTTAAATGTTCTGTATTGATAATTCCTGCACAAGAAAAATCCAAAAGTTGCCTTCTCAGAGAAAAATTCCTGATCTTCCTTTCCATAAGCTTACTGCCATGTTGACCAAGGTACTAGGACTGCAAGAAAACCTGGAATAAAGAGCAAAGGCTAAAAACGAAATAGGCCACTTACTGCTCTCTTCTGAATGAAGAGTTGTGCATCTTTAAGATGATCAGCAATGTTTTTACACAGCCTTTGGCGTTCATCCTCCTTCAGCACTTTGGTGTAGAATTCTCGCACCTTATCATTGGAAACAAAGTTTTATTCTGAAATTCCCCAAAGCAAGTCATTCTATCTGTAGCAGCCAATAATTCTGGAGTTTTAGCATTCATTATTACTAAGAATAGCTTTCACTTACTAGTCAGGTAACACTTAAAAATACTCAAAAAGCAACCAATTTGTGGTTTGGATGTTGGGTTTTTGGGGGGATTTTGTTTTTTTTCAAACCTGCTAACAACTCCTTCCATTTCTAGCTTGAATTAACTGTTGTTTATTGAATTACTGAAAACAATTATTGCTGTTGGGGTCCAATGCAGGAATTGATGATCATGACATTCATGCATACTCTAGTTTGCTTATCTGCATACACTAATCACAAGAAGACAAAGTCACAGCCTCTAGATATCTGTGCTCAGAATATGGATGGCAAAGGGCTGTGAGAATTCACAAACCATCCTGTCAGCAAAAATTCAGTTATTCATGAAAACAAGCTGTATGGGGATCTTCCAAGGTCTTATGAGAGCTGAACTTCAGGTTATCCAGATGCCTCAGAGAGGAGCCATATGTGAATGATTCTTACTAATATTCACTAGACTTACTCTACAAAGTCATCTTATGTAATAAGCAATATAAACCCTTTTTGTACATCATACCTGAGTCACATTATCTTCATTGGCACTATTGAAGCGCTGCACATCTCCTGAAACAGCCATGCGGCTCTCCTTTACCATGGGCTGATCTTCTGGACCACTGAAACTATTTGGATAATAGTTTGGGGCACCACCTGAAGATAAACAACACCCCCCCCAAAAAAACTCCAAACAATCAGATGCCAGCTCTGCCAGATTAAGTCAGAAGAAAAAGTTCTTTGCCCAGAACTTAAATCAATTCCCCAATTATGATTCACTTCATTAAAAGCAGCTGTCAGCATTTTTCTGCCAACATACAGCTAAACATCAGGAGCTGTGTCTTCAGATCAGTGCTCAACAGCACTTATTACCAAATTTCAACAGCTTGAGGGAAAAATGAGTTTGTTTCAGAAATAAGGAGGCCTGGCCACTCTTACAACAACATTGCTCAGACAATTTTAGTAGACAAAGTCATGGAAGTCATTCAAAGTTTTAGTCCAAGGTAGCTTAAAAATACTTTTTCATCTACCTGTTTGAAGCACTGCTAATCTTAACTAAACAGGGGATTTATTTTAAATACATAATGAATTTACAGAACTTCATAAAAAATAAACATCTGTTTTAGGACAGGAGAAGCTGTTTTCAAGTTCTCATTTCAGAAGTATTTCCCTCTCCTCCCTCATCAAGTATTAGAATTCACAGCTCACAGGAATACAGCAGTTTTCACATGAGGCACAGCTTAAGTGTATCCTTGTTTACTCTCAGGTGTAAAACAGTCACTAATGGGCAAACGCTGTCAGAACATAACCTGCTGAACAGAGGTGAAGTTAAAGTTCTAGTCTTGACATTTATACTCTTGCCTTTCACTATCTCTTGGAAATCAGAAAGCAAAGCAGTTTAATGAAGTGAACTGAGTATATGAAAGTCTTTAAATTTAAAAAATGTAAATACAGATTTCACAAATACATTTATGTCATCTCATTTTTAGATTAGATTTTCACCTAGAAGTAGAAACAAAGAGGTAGCAATTAACCTCCGTGAAACTATTTCTCTAGCATATTTCAGCATTTCAAATTAATATTTTAGAACTTCTTCAATTAAGTCCCCTTTAACAATTATGTTTCTGTAAGTCTTGAAAGGTACATAAACTAGGGACTTTACTGAATTCATTTGACTGAGGGTGTTCTGCAAACAACCCTTCTCTTAAAGGCCTATTTAAGTTTTTAAACACTTCTTAAGCTTCACTTGGCTTTCACGCTTTTAAACTCCCCACCCCCTGTCCAAACACCCAAAGTTGCCTTTCCTGGATTAATAGAAGGGATACATACACATTCTAAACAAGCACATAAAAAATGACAGACATCCTACTTTTCAGGAAACAAGAAAAGCCTCATTTTTTCCCCCATCGTTTAAAAGTTTTAAAATGAGTCGACTTGTAGAAAGTAAAAGTTATATTCAAACGGAAAAACACTAATAGTTAAGAGACTATCAACTACTTCACATAAGGCTGAAATGGTGTAAGGAATATCCATGTGCTTCTTTTAAAGTCTTAAAAAAAGATGTTCAAAGTGCACTCTAACCTACACAAGCACACTTACGTTTTACAGTTAAGTTTTGATTCTCAATACTTGTACAAGAGTGACAACAGACAAAGAGGACACACAAATAAGTGCAATGATAAGAATGCTTTCAACAAGCTCCCTCAAACAGGGGCTAAGAAGATAAAAATCAGTATCTTAACAAATAGCATCCTGTCAAGAACACAGGAAAAAGAAATAAAATCACTTTTTGCAGTAAGAATTAATCAGGTAGACCCTCCTCAAGGATTTGTGTGAGGACTAGTACTATTCAACACACTCACATTTACCTGAAAAGGGAGCAAATAATAAACTGACAGCTTAGCCTCTGTAAAATTTAACCTAGCCAGAATCAAAGCTAGCTATTTATACTGACACAATCTCATGATACCAAAAGAATGTATCAAAATTGCTTTTCCGAAAACAATTTTATTTGCCATGTAATTCACACTGGGAACAGAAATGTATGTAACTTTATACATGCACAATCATGGGTTCTAAGACAGGCCATTACCTAACATGAAATAGATCTTGAATTCATTTGGACAATTTTAAGTAAATTACTTTGACTGCTGGTGAGAGACAAGTTCAAAAATATTAAGAACAGCACATGGACAAATTTAGGGCACTCTACAGAAAAAAGCATACAGTGAATTCATAACAACTGCATGCAAGGCCAACTGGGCCAAAAAGGACCCAGTAATACAAGGAAAGGTACCAAAAGGTTGACAAAGATTATGAGAGGTAAGGAACAGTTTTCACATAAAAGAAAAAAACAGATAGGCTGGGAAGTCTGAAGCTCAGGAAGTTAAAACAGTGATGTTTGAGCGGGGGCAAAGAGTCACAAGAGACACTAAATAGTTAAGGAGAAAAAGTAGCATTTATTATAGTATAACAAGTTAGTAATATCCAAAAAACCCATCTGTTTAGCAAGTATCTTAAATCCCCTGTGAACTTTTCTGTTCTGAATTCTTCAGTATAAGTATCATTATGTTCAAATATATTTTCATTATTACCTTGGTTGTCAGAAACACACATTGGTCCATCCCTCTGGTAATTGGCCACACGAGTTCTGAAGGGGCAGTTCACAGGAATTTGTAGATAGTTAGGTCCTAGACGGTGTCTATGAGTGTCAGGATACGAAAAAAGACGACCCTAAAACATTGATCACAAACATTAACTACTACTTGATGAATAAGATCACTTAAGTGGTATATGCTAATTCAAAGCACTATACATTAAATAGTAAAAGAGAGAAGACTGTTTCCTGACGTACTTCAAATTATGTCCAAAATGACACTCGGCCACTAACTAACTTTGCTGGAATACCAGCAAAGAATGGCAGGTTGAGTTGCATTTATGCAGCTTGGGTATTTCTTACTAATTTTGGTAGGCTAATAGGCTAAACCTATTCTGAGGCAGAAAAATGGTTACACATGTAGAGATGAAAGTTGACTATAACAGTGCTAATACTAAGGAATAATACAGTATTTTTCTACTTATTTTCAACCTTAGATTTAAAAATTGGTTCTCTCTGAAATATGTTAGTCCCTTATTTACTGAACTGAATCTGAAGCAGTTCTAGTGACATCTGGATGCCAAGACAGCAGATTCTGACCATGAAGTTTGTGGGAGCAAAGAGAAGTAAAACAAAAGAACTGCATGATGGTTCAAGAGTTTATCCAGTTAAAACTGTCAAAGTATCTTGTTTCCATGGATATCACTTGTAACAATCTGGTTTTAATCCAAAAAAGCATAACATGCTAACACCCATGACACTGCAGACAGTATAGTCTACTGCAGCCACTCTTACCAGATACTTTGACATGTAAGAGATCTGATACTACTTTTAAATAACAGTCTCATGGTTTGTATCAGGGATTAGTTACATCCATATTTTATAACATTTGAAGTCCACCTGTCATACTACTAACAGTTTATACTTTTAAGATATACCGTAAAAGCATGAATAAATATGCACTGCAGTTATGGTTTTATCCCATACTTCTCACCACACTGACAGATTTCCCCATCAACTTTGATAGCTTTTGCAGAAGTCTTCTGAGTTCTAGATTTTCTGTTCCTTTAGTTCTTTCCCATTCTCTTTACTTTTAAATTTTGGATAAGCACATCAAATGGCGCTCATTAAAAACAACCACCAAAAAATAAATTAAAAAAAGAATATCAGTTGCTTTCTATTTGTCAAGTTTACAGCTGCTACCCAAATAGAGATAGGAATGCTTTCACAAACAGCAAAGCAAACGTAATGCTCTTCGGGTAAAATCTTACGTGCATTTTAATTTACCTGCAGCATTTTATCAGGGCTAGGTTCAATGCCAGGTGGCATGTTGCTAGGATCATACGCCATCTGTTCTACCTCTACAAAGTAATTCACAGGATTCCTGTTCAAGACAACCTTTCCCACAGGGATGAGAGGGTAGTCGCCATGTGGCCAAATCTGGAAGACATAACACACATACATTAAAATCAACATTACTCTAGTATTATGCAGCTTAAGCAATTACTAGGCAGCATTGGCCCGATTTAAAGTATTAACTGAGAAAATACATTACTGAAGAAATTTATTTTTTGCTCACAAACATTTTGAGAAATATCTTATTTTAAGACGACTTTTGCAATTAATACAGAGTATTAGTGCAACTTATTTCATCATTCCAGCATAATCTCAGAACTTGAATTCTTAAAGACCCACAGGCGCTTGAAAAACTGCCCAGGAATGTAATATCGTAGGTGGAACTGGTAGCATGATTGTTTTCAGCTACCTCAAAATGTAAGCAGCTCAACTATCCTTTTCTTTGTCATCTTAGCCTGTGCTTTCAAGTTCAGAAGTCTTTAGCCATTTTAGAACAGCAACATTAGAGAAAAAACAAAAAGGCAATACAAATTTACATTAGTATCTTTCAACAGGCTATTCCTTGGAACAGTAATTGAAAGTCTGATGAAATCAGACCAACAACCAGAAGTTACATTACCAAAAATACTTAGAACTAGCGAGCTCAGAGTGTGACTGCACAATCTGAGATCATGCTTTGGAAATGCAGCACAGCTGTGATCTACAGGCCTGGAATCAAGCCCTGTCCATATTTCACTGAGGAAGAGTAACATCAGATATATAAATATAATTTCATCTCCAGAATTTCTGACTCGTCATGACCATATAATAAAGAGTGCGCTATAAAAAAAGAAGGGAAGAGTAAAAAGGACAAACTTCATTGACAGAGACTAGTAAGAAAACAGCACTGCTCCATAGGAACCGTTACACTTAAGAGATAAGCTCAGTTCTGGCATTTGCTACAGTTTGATCTCGTGACCTTTCTTAACCTAGCTGAAACTGAGTATTAACAACACTATCAGAGATACCTTAGTTAAATCAAAAGGATTAAATGGAAACTTCTCTGCTTCTTCAAATGTCATAACTTGAATGTAGAAAGACCATGATGGATAGTCCCCCTTGGCAATGGCATTGTAAAGATCACGTATTCCATAATCAGGATCAGTAGAAGCCAATCTTCCTGCTTCTTCAACAGAAAGATTTTTGATACCCTGGTCAGTCTAGAAGCAGTAAAAGCAGTAACATCAGTTAAAACATGCAGAAGGTATTACAAAAGTCATTAATAAGAATGTATTTTAATAAGATTTGTAATTAAAAAAATTCCACTAACTAAAAATCTTATTTAATAAGGTTTTGACAACTTGAAGGCTAAAAGCTGCTATACAATGCCTCTTATTTTAGCAGAATGGTTTCCAAAGTCTTGCTTCAAAGGTAGGTGTCCAGCCTCCACTAAAGTCTAAGGAGGCAAGAAACTGTATTGCCTTTAAAATTTCAAAGGGAAGTTGTTCTCAAGCAAGATATGCTAGAGACTGCTTTCTCAGAAAAGTGTGGAAGTTGTGAGGTTCTGTGAGCTTCAGTTACAGAGGTCTTGGAAACAAAGTTCTTCTATTCTAGTATACAGTTGAGGTCATCTTAAAAATACTAGATCAATGCAGCTCATATCCAGAATATAAATGGGAACAAAACCCAGATCTAGACAGAGAACTTTTATCTGAGGAAGCACCTGTTGAATCCAAGCTACTGTGTAGCCATGAACATGAAACAGGAACATATCAGACACTGAATAAAACACATTTCCAAAGGGCTGGAGGATTCTTGTACCTGATCTGAATGACAGCAAGGGATTTTCATGGGAAGTTCTGACACAGCTTCACACCCAAAACACCTACTGGTACGAGGCTGAAAAGCAGTAACCTGAGCTAGGTGCTCAGAGCTCATTATACAAGTAGACTGAGTTCTCCAATAAGAGACAGCTCCACAAAGAAGAGTTTTTCATCGTTGAAATGCTGGGGTTTCAACCCCAAGCCCCAAATTAAGGTTGAGATATGGGTGATTTCCACAGCCCTTCACAAAGGGGTGATGAGTTTGCCTTTAGGCTTCCCTCCAGGGTGCAACTGGCCTGGCAGGGAGAGCCATTGGGTAAATGAGCCCCAAGTGTCCCGCATGAAGTAAACAAAGGTCAGGTGTCCCACTTAGGGATAAAAGCTGGGACCACTTGCAGGAAGGGGCAGTGTCTGTCTGAGGTGGATGCCCTGTGCAGAGCTTCCTGTTGGGGAAGGACCTCCTGCCTCCCTGAGACTGGGCTCCAGTCAGGCCTGGCTTTTGTAAAAGCAGGCTGTGTAGAGATTCAGTATGTGGCTTCCTTGGTCTTATGTGTTTGGCTTGTTGACTCAGTTGTCTCCCATCCCTTCTATGGGAGACTATTTCACTGTTTATTCCACCCATCGTTGGTCATGCGGTGTCATTGTTCGGGTCAGTGGGATTGATGTCGATTACGTATAACCCGATTGACTTGTTTGTACCCCCAGCGCTCACCCGTGTACTGACCCTTTTGTATCAAATACAATTTGGTTATTGGTTCATCTTTATGCTGGCCGTGTCCTTTATGCTAGGCCTAATAACTGGCAAAACAGTAAGTATTTACTAGACTATTGTGTCATAGCAGGACCAGTGATCTCATCATATTTGTAAAAGGCATGGAACAGATATAAAAACACCACATAGCTTTTTGATTGAGTCTATGCACTAACAAGTCTTTTCTGAATTAAAACTTGCAAAGTCACAGAATATTTTTAGACACTGTCTAAACTGTTTTTTATCCAATATGAAAAATATTTCCAATAGATAACTGGAAAAAAAGATCAGTACCTTCACATGGAATTTGCAATAAACTGCTCTTCCACTAGCATTAACCAGTTTAAAAGTATGTGAGCCGTATCCATTCATATGGCGATAGCCATCAGGAATACCACGATCACTGAACAAGAAAGACACCTAAAGAGAAGGAACAAACAATATTAATGGACTCACCAGTTCAAGGATAAAGTGACCATTTGAGACAAAGTTTGTTTACTGCATTAATCTGCATCACCAGCTTAACATTACTTAAACTAGAAATTCCTCAAGGAATAAGTTTTAAGATTGTTAATGAAAGAAGAGTGTTTTGGCTTTGCACGAAGAACAACTTCGTGAAATAAACCTATGTGAAGTTTTATGCCCACATGCCTATGTGAAGTACAAGACATTATCACTAGGTTAATGTTATGATTTCCCCTATATGTAAAAAGCAAGTAAGCATGGATAATTTAAGTTACAAATATAAATAAGAACTTTTTTCAGGTTAAAAGACAAAATTTGAAAACTGAAGTCATTAACAAGTAGTTCTTCAAAGCCTTTGAGCCGTAAACATCCCACCATGCAAACATTCAAAATGCTGCTTTTCTTCAGGTTTATGATCACAAACAATGCTTGTGGTACTTTTTCCAGTTAAAAGGCTTTTTTTAAAAAAAAAGTTACAGCTGCATTTTTAATTTCCTATTAGCTTTTTTATGTAACCTGCTTAGATACATTCCAGAATAATTAGAATGCACTGCAAATTCTAGTCATTTCTGGAGTTGATCTAACACACTACACAACATACATCTTTAAATAAGCTTATATGTGATAGCATTACTTTCCCAGTATTTTACTGCTCTCCAACGTTAACAGTTTGCTCTTCACCAGTATCTCCACTGCTTTAGTATCAGAAAACTTGGCAACTACCCCTTCATCTCCATGTAAGATATGACTATGAAAACAGAAGAATCCCACGCATTTCAGAGTCTTTAAAAGAAAAAAGGCTAGATACACATACTAATAGCCTTAAAAGTCATTGTAAGCCTTTCACCTTTACTTTTCCTAAAATATTATGTAGACTTCTAGATAAAGCATGGAAAAGAGGTATTTTAAAATATATGCTATTATAACATGAGTTTCTTATATATAAAATGAAGTCAAAGGGGAACCTTACTTGATGCAAAGACTCAGGGCGAAGACTCCAGAAGTCCCACATCATGTCTGGATCCTTCAAATGAGTCTGAGGGTTCCTCTTTTGGCTATGGATGAAGGACGGAAACTAATTTGTCCGTAAATGGAGGAGGGAGAGGAAAAAAAAAAAGTCCTGTAATATCTCAAAAAAAATGTGACGGGTATACTAAGCAACTCCTGGTACAAAACAAGGGATTTTTTCAATACACTTAACTATGAAATAAACAGCACACGAAGATGAGAAAAAGCTTTAAGATCACTGCAAAAAAGACCCAATCTTCTATTGTCATAGACCTCCTACAACCAAATTAATTATCCTAATTTTACTGGTCTGTGAAAGTGAAACATTTGCAATTAGGACAAACAGGCTGTTGAAAGCATTCTTTAGCTTTGATCTGATTGATAAAGTGTGAGGAAAATCTTTTCAAATTTGTGTATCTGAACTTTACTGAATACCCGACTCCTAACCAAATACAGAGATATTATAAAATATCTGTGCAGAGCTCCTCCACTCAACGAAAAGCCCCTCTACTTACAAAATGCTGTTAAACTTATACTAAAAGACAAAACTGATCAGATCTGAAGTTAAAAACATTATGATGTACGTACTTGCTGGCTATTCTGCTGTGGCATATGCACTAGCAAATACAACTAAATGCCTGTGCTATTTGTGCTACAAAACCACTTAAGTTATCAAGCATTAGTTCTTAATTATTTTTTTTAATTAACACCTTTTCAAGTAAAAAATGTTCAGACCACCTAACAAAGTTTGACTATGTCAAAACACAGTGTTTGCTTCTCAGCAAAGCAAGAACAAGATGGGAATGAGCTTTTGGACTCTTTCCCAAAGCACCCTCATCTTTTGTGCTTACTCACCAACAATGCATCCCGAATAAAGAAGATAGGGGTATTATTTCCCACAAGATCCCAATTACCCTCTTCTGTATAGAATTTCATTGCAAAGCCTCGAGGGTCACGAACTGTATCAGCTGACCCAGATTCTCCAGCTTGAAGAAACACATGAACATACAGAAGCGTTATGATAGGAAATGCAGACAAAATTTAAGCATAAAAATATAGAACTTCAGAATATGCCATAAATCCTAAAAGGGTAGGGGTTATTAAAGTATTTTCTATACCAAGGGTTTTTTGGCGTATTTTTAACAATACTTCAGGCACTGGAAGTTTCCAAAGTGTGAACAGACACCCACACAAGCATTCACGCCAGAGTTAAAAGGAAGAAAAAAGTATATCCACTTGAACCAATTAAGAATGAAATTTGCATTATCAGTAAAAAACCCATCAGATTATGAGGCTGAATCAGCTAAAACCACATTAGTTTCTGTGCATCAAATCCCACTGTGAAAGCTCTCATTTGGAAGGTAGCAATCTAAACAGTATACTTAATAAAAAAGGAACTTATAGAAGAGTTGTAACCCTTTTAGTTCCCCTCCTGCTTTAACCAAAACCAGTCCTTTCAGTAGGTAACTACACTAGAGCAAAAGCATTCCAGAAGTATTCAGGAACAGCTAATGCTAAACAACATGATGAAATAACAAAGACACTCATTCTCTCATTAAAAGAAAATAATTGTGTGCTACAGAACAGCAGCTAGGAAGAAACGTGTTCAAACAGAGCAGGGAAAGAAAAGGTAACGATGCAACAACCTACTTCAGCACACAGCCTGCAGATCAAACTCGCTGCGTGTCTTTCCCCCATATAATGTTCCATGACCCCTTAAATTTTGGTGATGCAGGGAAAAGCCAGTAGGCCAAAACCAGCAGCTCCTTGAGCCTTGCTGGACTATTGTTTTCTCTCCAATACTACTTCCAAAACCAAATTCTCTTAAGAATTTATTTTCTTTTAAAACAGATAAAGTAGTAACATATACATTTTGAAAGATCATTTTTTTTATCAGACAAGATATTGATCCTAATGCATGTTTTAGCTAATATAAGATTTTACTAGTTTATGCATTCAGCTCTAAGAAATAAGAGTTTATTTATGGAAGACTGCTTGTTTTTCTTTGTCTAGTATTTGCCTTACAGCACTCATCCCCAAAACATTCCTACAGCATAAGAGATTATAGGTATTTAATTTCCAAGTGTTAAACTGCAGCAATGCTAGCGTTGATTACAATCCATTCAGAAACAAAGCAAGCTTTCTGCCAGGAAAAAAAATAGCTCAGGCTATCCTTTCTCTCACATGGAAAAGCTTCTACAGAGAGCTCTGGCAGGAAGATGCGGAAGCTGCTTAAGGTCTTACAATTTAAATGAAATTCACAGAAGAGGAATTGGTTGGCAGAAAGGATTTCAAACTACCTTAAGTACATGAAGTGCTCCATAATGCAAACGCTGCTATCAGTGTAACTATGGCACACATAAGAAAATACACAGTAACTTCAGAGTCTTACCAACAGTGGAGAATCGTATAGCAATAGGAGTTCTCTTTCCAACGTGTTCAAACACTTTTGCCTTGCAATACTGGGTAATATCATGAGTGACTTCGAAATAGCCAAAGGCTCCTGAAGAAAAGCAATTTCAAAATATCAGATCTAGATACAGTAACAACGCATTTGTTATTTTATTGTGGTCCAACACACAACTTTAAGTCAAAAGAAATGGAAATACACGTAAACACAGTTCATATCTATGCACTAAAACACTATTTTCACAAAATTAAATATACTTAACACAAAGTACTATTTGCATACTGCATATGTGCTCACTCTTCCCTCCTTAACCAATTGTTAACTGTTCCCAGCAGCAACACAGACCTCACTTCTACTGGGCAAAACAACAAACAGTAGGTTTCGGGATGCTCTTCTGCCAAGATTTGCTTATTTACCTCAGAGCAAGATAAGTATTTAATCCTGATACACGTTGCAGAACTTTTGGTCCACCTGTAAACTGGATGAAACAACAAAATTCTTTCCACCCCACAGAAGAATTTTTCCCCATGTACATTCACATTATAAATTGTCCCATATTTTCTTCTTCTAGGGTAACACGTAGCAGAAATCAAAAGGTGCCAGTTTTACCCTACTAAGATCAATAACGAAAACGAGCTGGTTTAGTTTTTTTAATTATTAGATCATCGTCTTGCTTTGGCAGACAGATACATCAGATGACAAAGACAAGAATCTCTAACATGCAAACAGCCATTAAAATAGAGATGGGGAAGTCTTTCCTTCCAGAAGAATGGGGTACTATGGAGGAACAGACAGAGGAAGCAGAGATTACAGCAAATACAGTAAAAATCTAAGGGCTATAACTACATTTTTGCTCTTTATTTTTCTAAACAGTTTTTCAGTGCTTCAAGTTTTGACACTAAATTCTTTTAAATGAGGCCTTACCACCATTGTTGATATAGAATTATTATATTCTGGAACACTGAATTATGGATAATATAATGCAATTTATATGTCACAATCTACATTTTAACTCATAAGCTTTTAAAAGTCTAATTCTATACAGAGAAAAAGTATGTGTTTTTAAACATACCTGCTCCTTTTGCATGCACGACTCTTTCAGGAATCCTCTCTCTGTCAAAATGAGCCATCTCATCAGTGAAAACAACATCTTGCACAAGAAGTGGTCCACGTGGTCCTACTGTCAGAATATTAAGCTTATCTCCTATTGGGTTCCCAGCACCAGTAGTCAAGACATCTGGTTTCTGAAAGCAAGAGACAGTCAATATCACACCACCAAAAATCAAAAACCCTCTATATTTAAGTCACACGATGTGCATGCCTGTTCAACCATTACATGTCACATGAATATATAGCAAGATACATACAAAGATACATACAAATCCAGAACTGGTTACAAAAAATAACTAAATCATCACCATACTATAGACAGCTATGTCTGGGACTATTTAAGAAGGGGAGTTCATATCATGTATAAACCAAGAATGTTTTCCATGGTTCAGAAGTATTACTTAAGATTATCTATCTTGCTTCACAAAAAATATGACGTGTCAACCTTAAAACATGCACTGAGGTTCAGTTTGCCCCTACCTCAACAGGAGAGGATGGGGAGAGAGCGAGCTAGGAAAAGAGTAGCTGCTAGAAAGTAATAAGGGAGAAAGGAGAGGAAGGATGATAATGTCAGTACAGGGATGGAACCATAAGAACTACAGTCACACAGCATAAAGACTAAAAAGGGGTACTCATGACTACTGTTAATCTAGAAGAGCTATGGAAAATAACATTAGCAAGAGCACCTGAGGAATCATCATTCTAGACTCTTGAAAAATAGAAGGACTACAACTTATAAAAGCTCTGAGAAGCCCTACTGCCAACCACAACATTTTAAGTTATTTTTACTAACATCACTATTGTCTTTAAAGAAACTGCCCAAGAGAGCCCATACTCAACTTTTTCCCTCCCTTCCCTACCAAGTTGAAGTCAACCATTCTCATAGGCTACTTAGAGCTGCAGTATCTTGTACAGTAGGAGTGACCCTGTACCTGAAAAAACAGCCACTCCAAGAAATATCTGTTGGAAGTCTGTAGTACTATAGTTGAGTGACACCCACTTTCTTTAAAAAAAAAAAAAAATCCCAGTAGAAGAGACTTTATCTGCATCACATATGGGGTCATAACGCTCCTCTAAGGCAACAGTCCTATTTTACTGGGTACCGTAGAAAACACAGCAAGGAAGGTACATCAGCTCCAGAGACCTGATGGTTGTAGATGTCAGTTTTTCCTGGAGTACATTAAATGTTAGGAGCCAGGGCGATGCTTGTAAAGGACATAGAACAGAATAGAAGTTAGTACAAAGGGGAAAAAAAAACCAAAACCACAAACAACAGAAAAAAGTTTGCAACAGGGTAAGCTCAAATATCCAAGTCACAGATTATGACCAGTTAACACTAATTCCATGGTTATATGTTGCACTAATCTGACATACACCATAAGGGCTCTCAATCTGTACCTCCTACCCTCTTCTGCCAGCAGCATCCAGGCACCTGACCCATGGGAAGTGCACCAAAATAAACTCACTCATCCTCTCCTGACTAATTCTCCTTCTGTTAAAGTTCTAGAAGTGAAAAGGGATGGTGAAGAGAAGGAAAAAGTAGCTCCTGACAAGAAGGCCTTCACTATTATATCAGCAACTTTATGGTGTTCCAATTTTTATACTGACAATCTAAGTTCTGCTTTAAGTGTTTTAATTGCTGTAAACAGACAGAATTCCCATCTGTATCTCATGGAAGTTACTGAACTGGACCAGCCTCCATGTTGCTTGGGTTTTTTTTTTTATCCCAGGACGCAACCCACAAAGACAACAATTATTCACATCTACACATCTATTCTGGACAAGGCAGAGTATACAGGGAGAGTTAGATACACCTTTGTTTAACTCAGGTACACAAATAACCACATGAAAGACATTGGACAGGATAACTTCATTCCCAATGCGTTCTTAGTTATATGCAACACACACTACTTTAGCTGGCCTGAATTCCCAAAATACCTAAAAAAAGTTCTTTATTCTTCATTCACTACTTCATTAGCACAAAGCTATAAGCATAAGTTCCTAAAGTATGCTTGTCATCCTAACCTACACTGAAATTTGTACAAACATTTAAAAAAAGACAGTGTATATCTGGTTACAAACAGGAAATTGATGTTCTGGAACTTACAGGAAAGTCACCACTTTAGCTTTATTTAAAGCATTCTTAAGACAAAGGAGTATCTGCTTCAATTAAAACATTATCTATAGTTTATCAAGGGAAATATGCAAGAGTAGAAACTGTTCCCAATATTCTTTCTGCTGCTTAAATATCACATGTATGTTTTCCTCAGTTTTAAATGAGCCAAATAAAAGAATTTCACCACCCACTGAGAAATCACCTAGTCAGACTGCACGGGAAGTTCCAAGAGTTCAACTTCTTAAAATGCTATCCTAACATACAGGCCCCATATAATTTAGCACCCATAAATAGGTCATCTTATTATGTTTTAGCTATCATCTTAAACTAGAAATTACTTAAATTGCCGTTACAAATGAATGTTTTGAATTAGAATTTAATTTCATGTATTAAAGCAACTAGAATTACACTACCATATTCAAAGAACTTTAGGAAAAAGCTCATTCATCCATTTCATGATTCAGTCTAGTAAATGTAAAATATTCTACTCCAAGATACTCACCAAACACAAATTAATATAATTATATTATCAGCTCATTATGCTGACATCTTTTGTGTACTGAGGTATGAAAACTACAAACAACCTATCTTGACACCCATTCAAGCCTCTACTTTGATGACCCCTTTCTTAGAAAAGGGTACAGTCTGCAGAGACTGTAAAATGCTCACATATCACGACATTTTTGATCGAACTTTTTGGTTAAAAATTTTTTGCAGAGCTTGCTTAGGGAGAATCAATTTTTTTAAAAAAATATCACATTTCCAGCACTACCAATATTTTTTTTATTTTCATTAGTTTTGCTGATTAAAAGCTTCAAGTTTCTCATAGATAAAACCCAATGTATTAGTTTTCCTAACCATAATTTGATTTTTTTCATATTGATGACTCTGCCATACTCGTTTAAGACAGGCAAGCTCACTGTAATGTGAAAAAAAGAGAACAGATCCTACTAACAGCTTCTGCATTTCCCTCTCCAACCTCCTTGTGTTACCATTCATTAGACATTTCCATCCTTGCCACATGTTCTGCGTTTACATAGACTTCCACTTCCTCCTCACTCCAAGGCAGCCTGTCACTCAAAAAGCCTGTGGACAGCTTCAGCACCATTTATGAATTCCAACTACTATAATTTGAAGAAAAGCAAACTTAGGGAGTACATTCTGGTAACATTCTTAACATAACACAGCTCAAGACCCCTCCAGTCCATACACTGACTTGTTAAAGTCACTAATACTTATGACATGAAGCAGCAATCAGGTTTCACTCAGCCCATTAAGAAATGCAAAAATTATGCTGAATTAGAGCCCTGTTTATCCTGGAGTTCTTCATAAATTCCAAGCAGCCCTGTAGGTTTAACCATGCAGTGGCAGGACTATAATGCATATGCCAACACCTATGACCTTCTCCTCTACAAAGTCCTTGCAAAAGCTTGGTAAAAGACAAGGAAAAGGTATAAATAAATGCATTCTTAGACTTAGGGAGACTTTTTGAGTCCTTTTGATTCACCTATGCGTTTTTAATACCTTCTGTTTGATCACCTCAAGGGTAGAAAAAAACCCTTGCATTTTATTTGCAAACTATGCATGCAACAAAGAATAAATGTTTGTAGAGGTAATACAGCCCTTCTCAAACCAACTGGCTATATTGTCAAAACCACTGCTATAATGCTAACATCGAAGACTACTAGAAGTAGTAGCTAAACCCACAACTTTTTGAAACTAAACCTATCAAAAAATTTAACAGCTTTGTGGCTGTACAAACTGTTTTGTGTAGGCAGACTATCTGAAAAGTTCTTCCTGGCGTTCAAGTTAGAACTTTTTTTTTTTTTAAACAGTAGGATACATTTACTTTAGTTTCAGGATCATGTTATGTGTGGCACACAAAACAAGTTTGTCAGCGTAAAGGGAGAGACAAAGAAAAGTAGTTTTAAGAAGAATTGTCATATTACTTTTGGGCTTGAGTTTGCTTGATGCCATTATTTTCATATGGTTGGGAGCTGCATACAGTCAAAACCTTAGAAGATAAGAACTTTCGAATCTGCATGTGTATTTCATTACAGCACTAACCCCCATGACAGAAAGAAGGGAAACAAAGCCAGGAGAAATTTAGTCACAGCTGTTGTAAACACCATACATCAAAGTACATACTTCCAGGCATTACTGATACTTTGCACCTTATACAAGTCACTTTAAAATTCTAATAAGTCCTCCCCCTTTCTATCTTAAGGTCTCATGACTCCTTATGCAACACAGACTTTGGGTTGCCTCCCAATCTTCAAATTAACCTTGGCCTATATTCAAATACTACTTTGTTACAGAAAAAAACAACATCCATATGAAAAGTATTACTCACATTACAAAATTAAAATATTACCAAGCATGCTAGAGTATGTTGGAAGTCACAGTTTGTTACTAGCAGGTAGTTTTCATAGAGTACCTTTTAGAACCAAGGGGAAAAAATAAAATCCAGATGACTTAACAACTACAAGCAGGGGGAAGCAAAGGCATCCGCTTGTGTCCTGTGAGACTGCTGCTAAGCATAACCAGCAGAAAGAGTATTTAATGCCAAATACACAGTTCTGTCAGAAAATACATAGCAGAAACTGTCACAGTGATCTGCTGAAGACGGAGGGAGATCAACTCTTGTAGGATTTTTTTCGTTTACCCAAATATTTGGGGTATATTCTACATCTTCCAAAGATAATGCACTGTGCTGTTGATCACACGTTCTTAGGATTTCAGTCACTCACTTGCCCCAACCCACTTCAACCTGGTAAACAAGTCTCCGCATATTGCTGAATGTACTTAATCTTTTGTATTATTCCCTAGTTCCATTTTTACTGGGTTCTACCCATGTGACAGCAGAATTGAAAGTGCGAATATATGATCTGACACGAGAACCAAGAGGCAGTATCTCTGCCCAAGGACCTGCCTGCTCGGAGCCCCATTCCTGCCAAGGAGCAGGGGGTGTGGAGAAGGCAGAGCCGCCGTGCCAGCAGCGCTGACCGCCCTTGTCCCTCCCGGCCAGCTGACAGCCACCAGCCGCTTCGTGCCCGCGTTGTCCCGGGCCCGGCCCCGCGGGCCCTGCTCCATCCCAGCTGCCTCCCCTGCGGCCGGAGCAGCCCCCGGGCCCTGCGCCCTCCGGCACCGCCCGCACCCGCTCCCCTCCCCGAGGAGGGCAACCCCGCCCGCGGGGCCATCG